CAGTGCACAGGCAGGCTGTGTGTTCGTTCTGGGGTGATTTTAGTCTTCTTTTGCTTCACTAGAAATCGGATTTAGCTGAAAGTAACAGAGTGAGAAAAAGGGGCAGGAGACAGATTCAAACTAATAAGCACAGGGTATGTGTCATGCATTTTATTCTGTCTTTAATATCTTCTCTTTTCTCCAAACGTCGCCTGTAATAACTCTTTTTGACTTATGATCAAACACTTCACAGGGGAACTTTCAAGCAGCTTGGCGTTGACCTTCGAGCTGAACTCAGGAGGTCGCGTTTGAAGTTGTGTTTAAGTGCGATGTAAGAACACGGTCGCCAGGTAACTGACAATAAAAGGCAGTGTTGTGTGCTCAAAAAGTGATGTGTTTTTCATTTCAGGGTTATTTTCAGCAACACGAAAAGTACCTGGAGATCTTATATGACTATTTTGATGAAGTGTTTTGGCGGAGATGTTTGAGAGGAATATAACTGGAGCCCGGGAATCAAACACTAACATTTAGAAAGGTCTTCGGACGCATGATAGATGACCACGGAAACTACAGATTACAGAGTGTGTTGCTCCAGACTAATACCTGGAATAAGTTGTGGTTTGGGTGAGTTTAGGCGCAAAACTGCCAAATAATGTTGCAGGGAGATCAGGGAGTGAGTTACAATTTTCTTCTATATACAATCTCTTCCAGACTTTTTCATTTTAGCTCTACAGGCCTGAGCAGTTTGTCCGTTTATTCATCGGCTGTGTGGATAAAGTTATAATAATGTTGGTGAAGTTTCTCTGATTACTTTAAGTAGATGACAAATCTCCAAAAAGTAGTCCTCTTTACATTGTCTGTCAAAAATACTGTTTTGCCTCATCGTTTTTATACGTCATGGTGAGGTGAACTCAAAGGGAAAGTAGCACCGCTCTAACTTTATAGTGAGAACAGCTCTCTGTAGTGCTGTGTCGTTCATGAACGATTCGTTCAAAAAAAACAAACTGCTGAGTGAATGACATGAATGGAATCACTCTGAGACCTGATTCGTTCCTTTTTCAGTTCAGTTGAGCTCAGCCACGAGCGTGCCCACTGAGCAATAGACGGCTATTAGACGTCTAGTTATTTTTTAGACCTAATTTCAACCGTCTAGATTCTGTATATCTGTAGACGGAATTTAGACGTTGCACTTTAACCCGTAATTCGATAAGTTTATTTCAAAAAGCAACTGTGAGCTGCATAACTGATCTCCAAGTACTTAACCAAAATAATAATGATAGCCGTTGAGCAACATACTGTTAGACCTCTGTTAGCTGGCTAGTCTAAACTCGGTCTAAATTTAGACGTCTGAAAACTTTCATTTTTAGACCTGTGGTAGCCTGATTTTAGACCAGTCGTCTAGACTACATTTAGACGTCTATAAGACCTCTTTTAGACCAAAAAATGCTCAGTGGGTGCAAGCTGGTCCGAGTGGAACTTCCGCCTTTGACTCTGTGGCCAACGACACACAGCCAGCCAGCTAGCAAGCGAGTGGGTGGGTGGAGTCTCATGATTTGCGGCATGTATCAGTCAGACTGTTAATAAAACGAACGACTTCAGAATGACTTGAGGCAGGCAGAGGGGTGTAGCGTTGTTCACAAACTGCCAAGCAGCGGTTCATTCACTGAGGCTAAGATAAAACAGGTCATTATAGCGCCGTTACATTAATACACGTCTATAAACTTTCCTGCAAGAAGGATTTAATTTTAGCCAATTTAAAGCAATGAGCTATTTGATATCTTTAAAAGTATCACAATCCTGGCTAAGGCTGAGATGTTTATTTATTTTTAATCTCTCCACTTTTCCGCGATATAAAAGAATGACGACTCACGCTCGTTTTTGCTGTTGTGTTGTTTCACTTGCATCGCGATGAACGTCGGTGCCACACAGAGTGATTCTTCCTTTCAGCACCGCTGTGTCACTCACTCGTGTACTGCACCCGGCAGGATGGCATCCGAAGCTCTGACTGATTTGGTGAACAAATCTTTTTAATGAACTGATTCTAAAGATTCAGTCCAGTCAAAAGAACTGTTCTTCCCATCACTAGCTCACAGCTGTGTTACTGATTGTGTATCATAGACTATGTACAGAACGGACGCCATGTGCCTGCTCGCTGGGTGAAGCCACTCAACATGGAATGAGAACAGCGCCCTCCCGCCTCCGCCAGCAATCCCTATGGAGCTGTGGACAAACTTTGGAAATTAATTACACAGAATATAAATGTTTCTCCCCCCTGGTTGTGATGTTGACATGTAGTTACTGTAAGACTGGTTTGTGCTCAAGTCCTCTTTTTTCTGTGCAGCTCCATTTTTTTAAGTTATTAGGGGGTTCATGTTTTCTTTGATTGACACTTTATATAGCCTATGGGCGTACGAAGATTGCGTAGCTCACCTGGGGGATACGCTGTTTGAGCCGAGCGTCATCACAGCGACTCTTGGCAACTCTCTCGCTGAATTCGCACAATGCTTCTGCGCAAGTGGTGGAGTGCATACAACGCTACTACAGAGTTTGTTTCAGGAAATGGAGAGAAAACGCGGAATTACCAAGAGCTTTTTGGCTTCATATCCATATACTGGTGGAAGGCGGAAACCAAGTTGTCCACAGTGTATACAGTCTATGTTGTGTATTAATAAAGACAGCACAGCTCTATCTCCTCTCATTCAGAGAAGTAAAGATATAACCTCGGTAGATGCTGGCAAAGATCTGGCAGGACTGACATCGCATACCGTCAGCTGACCAGAAACCACTTTGTGTTATGTGTTGGTTGAAAGTCGTCACTGTGACGCTGTGAGAGTTCAGTTGAATTTTCCACTCACTGTTTCTCCTCTTCTCCTGTCTTCTCATTGATATCAAATGATTAAAATTAAAATTAAAACTTCAACTCTCCATGTGATGGGAACAAACTGCTTTTACAGATATCATGGTTGTGAAATATTTGACTGTTTTATATCTTAACTCTAGTTTGACCCATGTTCCATAATGGAGAGGGCTTTAGGACCTATACTGCAGCCAGCCACCAGGGGGAGCTCTGGAGGGTTTGTCCTGCAGTCTGGTCTGAGTAAATGTGGATTTATAAAACTTATGCCCTTTGCTAACACACTGTGTCTTTTAAAGTCATACAGAAGGACACCAGTGCCACACTGTCTTAATTTTACAAGGTATATATTTAATTTATTTATGTCATTTACAAAGGGACTATGCGAAATATTAAAAAATATATAATTTTATGCAGTTAGCTTAAATAGTGTGACCATACGCCTTCTTTTACGCGGACATGTCCTCTTTTTTAGGGGCTGTCCGGCTTTGTTCGGGGGAGTTTATAAAATCCTTCAAATGTCCGGAGTTTTGTATGAAAGTTTTAAGTTTGTGTTGTGTGAACTTACTGAGTTAGGAGCACGTAGAAAACAGTCGCCCCAACCCAAAAAAGTCTCTTACGCGACTGTGTAGTCGTGTCCTCTCTCTTTTGAGATTTAAAATAGGGTCACCCTAGCTTGAAGCCAACTACAGTCCCTTAACGTCCGACGTTCATGGGTTAAACTTAAAAGTAAGTTTAAGTTCAGTGATGGCAGAACTTAAATTATCTCAGATATCACACACCTTTTAAACCAGGGCTGTCCCCATATATCTGTGTTGACAAAATACGCCTTTTTTTGGAAAATGAAACTGATGTTGTGATCAAAATACAGAATATAAGCATACAGTAATACTGTGAGTGCATAAAATAGCCTTGTCCTTCACAAAAGACACAGCTAGCTTGTAGCAGCTCTCTGGAAGATGATTAGACACTAGAGTGAGAGCTTTTGTCTCTTTGGGTTACAAACTAATTGAACATTTAAACCCTCGAACCATTAAAATAAATATTTGTCGCTTGGACTTCAAAATAAAAGCATAATTTGACAGTGTGGGGAATATAGAAACTTAAAAAGAAAACAAAAAGAAATGTCAAAATAAAAGACTGGTTTATGAAATGATGTTTTCAGCAGTCACACAGCTGGAGATGTGGATAAATCACGAATTTGAAAATAATAAGAAATAAATAATTAGTGATTGATTGTGTCGAAGTTTTCAAAAGTACCATTGTTGAATTTTATGGCCCTAATAATCATGAGAGGAAAATCTGACATCCTAACATCACTGCTGTGTTATTAAAACAAAAAAAAAACAAACAGCAACTATGAGGGAAGTTAGACAACAACAGCAAGGCTGCGATGAAAGTTGATGGAAGTTTTCGAAGGTAAAGGAAGGAGAGGAGGATGTGAAGAAAGAGAGGAAGGGTTAGGACAAGGACAGGAAGAGGTGTGGAGAGGAACGTGTAAAGTAAAGACAGACAGGAGGATATTACCCGACTGAATACGCTGTTTTTTTTCAGATGGACATGTTATGAGTGGAACTGTGAAATATCTCACTAGCCGTGACACCACCTTTTTTTTTTTTTTGCCCTCCAGTCAGCAGCAGTGGTTTCCGCTGCGAGCGTGAGGCTCCGAGTCTGAATACGGCCTCCTGTGTCAGCAGCAGCAGCAGCAGTTCACTCGTGTACGAACAGAGTGTGGTGATTGCAGAGCAGCTGGGTGCTGGGAAGGTGATTGACTCAGACCGTGAAGATGAAACACGGTCGTCAAATGACTCCTCAGAGCTTTAATCCTAATCAGTCTTTTCAGCCTCATTGATGTTGCTCTGGGTAAGATAAACAAGCTGTCACAGTGGAAGAAAGACACAGTCACATGAAGTCAGATAAAGGTGGTTTCATGCGTTTCCTAAGAAAATACTGAATGTGCCTGAGTCAGCAAAAACAAAAGAATAAGTACACTACCTTAAAAATCCAAATCTTTTAAAATCCTTTCAATCAGTTTTAATAATTTGCCAAATCTAAACTAGAAAAAATCATCAGTGCAAGAAGGAAGCATGACTCTGTTTGTTGTTATCAGTCGTTGAAGATGCCGTTGCTGCTGCTGATGTCAACTTTCGGTGTGCTGCTCTAATTGTGGTGTTTCAGTTGTACCGTTTGTGGTTCATGTGTGGGAGCAAGAACAATGTCATCAGTATGAAAAAGAACACACTGTTCAATGATGCACGGCTTTACTCGCAAACAAGTTCATCCTGTGGTTAACGGGGACATTTAGTGGGTTACTGGGTTTTCTAGAGACTGTTGAGAATTAAAACAATACCGTTTTTTTCATTATTGTCTGTGTGATCACGACTACAAGTCTGAAGAAGTTGGAAGGCTGGGAAAAATTTAGAAATATAAAACAAAACAGTGTAATGATTTGAGTGGTCTTTTCACAACACAAAGCAAAATTAAGTAAAGCTTTGCTAACACAGCCTGATGAGAACAAAGAAGTAAACCTAACCCAGTTCTGACTGTTATGAAGTATGTTATTCACATCAGATTCAAAATGGGCTTGAAATTTTTTTTAATTTATTGAATTTCTAAATTTTTTTTAGTATTTTTTATATATTTTTATTTTCTATACACTATGAACAACTTGGCTCCGCCATTCATCGTTATACGAATTTGAAGCCAAAAAGCTCTCCTGTGATTCTTCCTGGAACCACCGCTCGCCCAATAGCGTTGTACACATTCGGTGGGAGAGTCGCTGTGATGACGCTCGGCGCAAACAGCGTATCCCCCAGGTTAGCTACGAAATCTTCATACGCCCATAGGCTGTATCAAGTGTCAATCAAAGAAAACATGAACCCCCTAATAACTTTTAAAAATGGAGCTGCACAGAAAAAAGAGGACTTGAGCACAAACCAGTCTTACAGTAACTACATGTCAACATCGCAACCAGGGGGAGAAACATTTATATTCTGTGTAATTAATTTCTAAATTTTGTCCACAGCTCCATAGGGATTGCTGGAGAAGGCGGGATTTATGACCTATACTGCAGCCCGTCACCAGAGGGTGCTGTTCTCATTGTCGCTCCACCTAGCAAGGAGGCAGACGGCGTCCACTATATATGCAGTCTCTGGTGGCAAAACATGGTTGGGACCGCACTTGAACCCACGGCCGCTGCGAGGGGACCGTGGTCCCCATGTTTGGGGCGCGCTAACCAGAATTTCTCAGTTTTAACATTGGATTTGTTGTCTTTTTCGTCCTAACCATAGACTGTATCTAGAATGGATGCCGTCTGCCTCCTGGCTGGGTGAAGACACCGCGAGAACAGCACCCTCTGGTGACGGGCTGCAGTATAGGTCATAAATCCCGCCTCCTCCAGCAATCCCTATGGAGCTGTGGACAAACTTTAGAAATTTATTACACAGAATATAAATGTTTCTCCCCCCCCCAATTTGAGTGTTTTGACAACATATCATACTGTAGACAACATGAAGCATTTTACAGATACTGCAAGGTGCCTTCGTAAATCAGTGCATGGAACTTAATCTGAAATTAACAAACTAGATTCAGACTGGGATTATTATGATTGGAGATGGGTCATCATGTCAGCATCAGCCCTCACCCAGCAGGACTTTAGAGTGATATGGCAGCTGACCATAGGACTGGACTGAAGGGTCTGGTCATGACTTGGTAGAAGGAAATAGTTCGTCATTGCCCCTCTCCACTAGGGTTACCATATGTAGTCTTTTACCCTGACATGTCCTCTTTTTGGGGGGCTGTCCGACCTTGTCCAAAGTCCTTCAAATGTCCGAGGTTTTGTATGGAAGTTTTGAGTTTGTGTCGCATGGACTTACTGAGTCAGAACAGCGTAAAAAACACTCAACCCGACCCGAAAAACCCTCAGTGTTTATTAAGCATGACGCTGTGACTCCGTGACTCCGCCCCCGCATAGTCGTGTCCTCTTTTTGGGGATTCAGAATACGGTCACCCTACTCTCCACAAGCTCCAGGGACAAGAATAGCAGAGTTTCAGCAGGGGGCCTAGCAGAGATCCTTGTGGGACACCATATAGTTCCAGAGTTTATTACTTTGATGTGGTGGTGCACCTACACGGCAGACAGATCTTCTCAGCAAAGGAGTGAGTCCATTTAAACTTTGAACTTCATTTTGGTCTCAGCCAGGACAGAGTTGTCTCAGGACTTAAACTAGACTAGACTAAAGAGTCAGGGGTGGGTCTATTTATCAGATGAGACAAGAGGAAGAACTCTGACTGCCTTACGTGCTGCACTGCTGTAACTACTTTTGAACGTTGTTTCCTGCAGCATGTGAAGTAGGTTCTAGTTGTGGTTTCATTGTTGTGGATTTCACTTCTGCTTACGCTTTTAGTTGCTTTTTTTAAATACTCTGTATCAGTAATGTGAAGTGAAGCATAAGATTACAGCTAATTCGATCTTTGTGGGTGAAGATTGTTGTCATTAGGTTTTAAACTGCTCAAATGCAGCCATTTAGCAGCCAAAACCAGGAGCCTGTGGCTTAAAAACACACTCCCAGCTGAGTGTTACGGAAAAACAGTTCAGAAAAGCCTCCCAGAATAAATTAAAGGTAAGAAACTAATGTTTCCCCGGGGGCACAGGGTGCAGTTGAGCTGTCAGTGCACTGCAGACATGCAATATACACTGAAGGCCATTCCTTGTCCTCTGATTGGCTACTGTCCTACTGTGATGTCATGGGGGCTTAACTCATAAAAAGGGTGCCGGGCTCAGCTGCTTCAAAAGGGCAAGTGTGGTTGAGAGCTGAATGAGTGTGTTTATGCATGAGCGTGTGCAGGAGAGAGAGGCTGACACAGACTGTGTGTGTGCGGTGCGCGTAACTGCCTGTTACACACACACCCGGGCGTTCATAACTCAGCAGGCGAGGAAGGGGAGCCAGAAAGCTGCTGACAAACACATTATAATGACACTTAGTGCTGTGGATTTTAAAGCATCTGGATTATTTAATCACTGGATTATAAAGCAGAAGAAGAAACTCAAAGGTAGGAGGACTAAGTGGAGTTTTCATTCTTGTTCATGCACATTTGTGTTGAAGTAAATTCACCTTTAGTTCATTTTTTCATGCAAAAGTCAAAGATTCGAACCCTGTTTTAAGATAACTCAAACATGAGGTGCACAGACGGGTTTAATCACAGGATCAGAGTGAAAATTGCAAGTTCTCTGGCTGCACGTGTGCGCCCTAAACTCTTTAAGTTTTTAAGTATTTGAAAAGCACAAGTCTGATCCTATTATCTGTGTTCCCAAAGCTGATCTCTGACCAGAAACAAACCAGTTATTTGTCGTGTGGAGGGTTTTCTGTGTCTGACACAGCTTTTATCTTTTATATTTATGTTTTATTTAACCAAAGTGTTTAATGACTTACTATTAAAAGCACATTTGAGATAGAATTTACTGTTGAGTTCATTATAATCTGTTTATTCCACTAAGAACTGCAAAAGCTCAGTGTCTATCATGAGTTGTTTTGTGTGCTTGTGTTTATTCTTTCGAGAGCATTGAGTCATGTTTAGGTGTCCAGTGCAATTACCAACCGAGCTACCTGAACCCTAAATATTTGGGTTTTTCTGTCTTCTCGTTTGATCATCAGCCTGAGAGAGCTGGACAGGTTTCTTTGTACGTGAGCGTGTAACTGTTTAAACAGCTCGGGGAGGGCAGAGGACAGAAGAAGCCAAGGCTGTTTCACCCGCTTGACTTCACCTCGATTATTGATCTGATCAGCAGAGGCGGCTGACAGTTACAATGGACGGTTTAAGGGTCACCAGAGAGGCAGGCTCAGAGAAATGCAGAAAATACGAAGAATATCTCATAATTGTCAATTAAACGTGGGGATTTTTCTGTGATTTGAGGCTGTGATTTGATTTCCTGCCAGGTACAAAATGTACTTCCCTGAGCTTATTCATCAAAATACAAACACCTCTTGGCGCAGCAGTGATGGAGGATTGTGATTGTGTTTTCAAGCAGATCCATTATTTACCTGATATTTTGGCACCAGAATAAATAAAATGTAAATCTGATCAGTTAATTTTTTAAATACGATACTTATAGAGGCAGAAGTGCTTTAGAAAAAACACATATTGGAGAAAAAAAGGTGAAGTACGGCTTTTACAGCAAGTTACTGTAAATAAAACATCAGCCTTAATCTTTGCTTACTTTACCGTTCCATCCTCAGACCTGCTGAAACAGTCAGAAAGTAAACAGGATTTGCAAGATGTCTGATGTCAATTTAGGCAACGCTTTAAAAGAGCTCAGGAATGTGTTTTAATACGTCTGCTCTTATAAATATTATGTCTGATCTCTTCTTTCTGTGGCCAGAAGAATTGGGGATTAAACTGCGCAAGATATCAATTATTAATCAGTAGACGCCCAACAAAAAGAGCTGGTATAGATCCTGCTCTGCAAAGACCAGACATCAAAATGGGATCAAATCAGAGCCACTCCCATCGAGAGGACAAACATCATTTTAACAGGTAGGAACCTCGAGCAGAAACTGATCCATGTTAGACAGTCACCTGCTGCTACTGCACCGGGTTTATAGAGAGGGGATGAAAGGAAAAGCAGATGGATGACGAAACAAGTGCACTGTTTAGGAACAGCATAATAATGTGTCCCAATCCAGGGGCTGCAGCCTTCGGGTCCTTTAAAAGCTGCAGCACCTGGATTGGGACAGAGTTTTAGTTTATGTAAAGTGGACAAATCCGAGCGCACCTAATCCTAAAACCTGAGTTTGAGACTGTTGTCTTCAAATAATGAGCTAAAGGACCCAAGTCAACAGGAGCCGAGGGACCAAACAACATCACTTCTCATCGAAATGTAAAAAGTTCAATACCATACTTAATGTCTGCCAGACATGCCAAAAGTGGTGTAAGCAAGAAAGCAGATTTAGTGGCACATATATCTGACTGTTATCAGCATAACTGTGGAAAGAGACGCCGTGCTTTCTCAGGATGGCGCCCAGGGACAGTAAATACACTAAAGGCCACTCACTAAATACAGAGATGAGTTTACTTGTTGTTCCATTCTGTAATATGATGCGGTGCAATATGACCAGATACTATTTTAATCATACTATAGACTCTATAGAGAATGGACGCCGTCCGCCTCCTCGCTGGGTAAAGCCACCATGAGAATAGCACCCTCTGGTGACGGGCTGCAGTATAGGTCATAAATCCCGCCTCCTCCAGCAATCCCTATGGAGCTGTGGACAAACTTTATAAATTAATTACACAGAATATAAATGTTTCTCCCCCCTGGTTGCGATGTTGACGTGTAGTTAGTGTAAGACAGTTTTTTTTTCTGTACAGCTCCATTTTTAAAAGTTATTAGGGGGTTCATGTTTTCTATGATTGACACTTGATACAGCCTATGGGTGTACAAAAAAAATTCCGTAGCTCACCCGGGAGAGTCGCTGTTTGAGCTTAGCGTCATTACAGCGACTCTTCCGCCAAATGAGTACAAGCTACTGCGCAAGTGGTGGAGAAAATCCCGAAAATACAGAGAGCAATTCGGCTTCAAATTCGTGACGGGAGGCGGAGCCAAGTTGTCCATAGTATATACAGTCTATGAATCCTCCCGATGAGTATTATAATCTATTTCTACCAAGTATGTTAAGCCACATGCAGCTCTAACACACTGTCCTGATAGATGATTAATATACATAATAATGTACCGTTTGATTTTGGCACCAGGATAACTCAATGAATCGTACTCATTGACAGTCACTCTACATTAGCACTTAACAAGTAAAGGTACATAATTACTGCAGTCACTTCTGTATGTGGTTCTTATTTCATGTCACACACACATAGTAGTAAAGTCCTACCATCTGATTCTGCTGCTCTTCTGCCAGCACCCTGTACCACATGGTGTTGTAACACGACCACAAACCCTTTCCAAGCATCCACCTCACCTGCAGCCTTGGCTCAAGCTTGCATGTGTGATTAGATAAGAGCCAAGTGGCCTAATGTAAACTCTGCACCAACTGTATCAAACAGAACAACCGCTATGAAGACCAGCCAATGATCTTTATGCATGTAATTCCCCATTTTTATGACTTTTTATTCACATGAAGAACAAGAGAACCCCACTATGTAACTGTTAATAGGAGTTAATGGTGAACTTGGGTTCTGTGCGGTCACTAAATACCGGGAAACAAAGTGGGTGAAAGGCTCAAAGGCACACAGAAAGCTGAACCTGATGGACTGGTGATAACACAAACACACTTCCTGCGTAAAAGACCAAACATGATCATCTCCAGCAGGGAGGGAGCCTCAGCGAATGGCCTTTTGTTGTATGAAAATACCACTCGAGTTTTAACGTAATCTGAGATGGTGACATTGTTCGGCGAAGCTGCTGCCTCTGACGCTGATAAAGGATATTCTGGCCTTTCCATGCACTTGTGATTGTTTGCAGTCTGACTAACATTTTCAGAGGCAAAAGTTGAGATGGATGGAGAGTCAACATCTACAACTGGACTGTAAACAGCTTTTATATGCCGACGACTACGCCCAAAGACTACGCAATGTAGAACTGTCGTCATGTGACAGCTAAAAAGGGCCCAGGAATTAATTTGAGCTTTTCATTCCCCCTGTTTTACTTTGGACTGCTTGGGGCTGTTTTTCCAAATTTACAAGCCACTAAGGACACGAGGCAAGGACAATGTCCAGACTTTTCTCGATTGCCTTAGGGAAGTTAAGTCATGAATAAGTGCGAACTTTCTAAAACTTAAAGACGGAAATTATCCTGTTCAGAGGAAACACCTCCACACCCTGCTCTGCTGATATCCTGAGCTCTCTGAGTTCCAACGTTCAGCCAACTGTTAGGAATCTTGGCTTTATTTTTGACAACCAGCTTAAATTTGATAAGCAGATCAGTGCTGTTGTTAAAACAAGCTTTCTCCAGCTCCGTCTTTTAGCAAAGACTAAATATTATTTCACAGAGGCTGATCTTGAAAAAACTACCCATGTTTTTATCACACCAGGAATGGTTCACTGGAACTTGTTGTATGCAGGTTTGGACGAGTCTTCGATCAACCGCCTTCAGTTCATCCAAAATGCTGCTGCTCGACTCCTCTCTGGTCAGAAAAAGCAAGACCACATAACCCCAATTTTAGTGACCATTCGCTGGCTCCCAGTTCGCTTTTGCATTGATTTTAAAATCCTTTAAATCATTTTTAAAGCACTCAATGGTCCTCAATGAGCCTTAAGGTCCTCTGACCAGTTGTTTTTGGACGTCCCCAAAACCTAGAGGTGACAGGGCTTTTTCAGCGACGCCCCTAGACTCTGGAACAGTCTACCTGGCCATATTAGAGCCTCACAGACTTTAGAGACTTTTAAATTGTCCCTTTAAAAACCCACCTTTTCTCCCTTGCTTTTCATCGGCACTATAGTTTTTTATCTACCTATTTATTTACTTCTTTATTTATTCTATGTACAGCACTTTGATTGACTGCTGTCATCTTAACAGTGTTTTATAAATAAACTTGACTTGATTACTCATCTACATGCCTTCAAATACTTAAAAATGAGTGGGTGACATGCTCAGGAGCTACACGGCCAGCAGTACCCTTCAGAGACCAACATTTTTGTCTCTTACTTGCCCAAAGTTTCTTGTTCATATGAAATTCAACCTGTTTTGTTTGACCACTTGTAAAAGCTGTCCTAATGCACACAGATCAATATTTCGTACACTATAAAAAAAAAAAAAGTGTTTTATTTGTTTTCTTACTACAGATCATGGCAGACCCAAGTGCTGCCTCGGAACTGGTGAACCAATCACAGCACAGCAACTCCTCCCTGCTCCATGATTGGCCGGGGAGATCTGCGGAGTACAATGATGCAGAGCTGGTGCTGCTGGGTGTAGCGATGGCTATTCTGGTTCTGGCCATAGTTTTTGGTAAGTTATAAAACATGATATTATTTCAGAGTATTTGACAATTTGTAGGATAATTTCGTTCAAGATAAAAAGACTCATATATGATTTTTTTTTGAGTGTTAAGCATTGAATGTATATATAATGGACTACATCTTCTTAGGTTTCGTAAAAGTGAAGCCAAAATTCCCTCAGTGATGTGGGCTGACATCCTGGTCATTTGAAACCAGAGTCTGTGCAATAAAAAAAAACATTGATGCCTCCTTCTGCTAAATAAAACACAACCATAGAAGAGCAATGATCCCTCACACCACAGCTAAACAACTACTTGTGTAGGGCTGGACGATAAACTGAAAATTTACAGATACCGAAATGTACGACAATAACATTATTTTTCCAATGCCAATTTAATCAGTGTCAAATCAATAAATAAAAGTTGGTTTTGGATGTGTGTAGGTAGGCTGTGGTCTAAGAAGTAAAGACAGGTGAGGAGTTCGGTTTAAGTTGTGGCGGCCAAAGTAGACAAAGGTAATGTGGGAGGGGGTGAGCAGCTTGTGGAGTGGTTATCGTCCATTTATTGTTACTGAGGTGAACTGTTCAATAAATTATGATGTTGATCTGAGGCCATATCGCCCAGCCCTACTCTTGTGTCAGTCTGGAGGAGACACTCACTTTCAAAAATTGAACAGCTAAGCGTGATGAGAACTAAACATGACAAAAACTATGTCTTAGAATCATCTATAATACGTCTATTTGGATTTTTGAGTTTGACCTATGACCTTTCTGTTGACATGAAAATGGCGGGCTGTATGACCCACGCCTTAACCTGTCAGGAACATAGACTGTATATAGAATGGACGCTGTCTTCCTCCTGGCTGGGTGAAGCCACCACGAGAACAGCACCCTCTGGTGACGGGCTGCAGTATAGGTCATAATTCCTGCCTTCTCCAGCAATCCCTATGGAGCTGTGGACAAACTTAAAGAATTAATTACACTGAATATAAATGTTTCTCCCCCCGGTTGCAATGTTGACATGTAGTTACAGTCAGACTGGTTTGTGCTCAAGTCCTCTTTTTTCTGTACAGCTCCGTTTTTAATAGTTATTATGGGGTTCATGTTTTCTATGATTGACACTTTATACAGTCTATAAGCGTACAAAGATTACGTAGCTCACCCAGGGGGATACACTGTTTGAGCCGAGCGTCATCACAGCGACTCTTCTGCCAAATGCGTGCAAGGCTACTGCGCAATTGGTTAAATGCGTACAATGCTACTGCGCAATGTTGGTTTCATGAAGTGGAGAAGACACCCGGAAATACAGAGAGCTTTTCGGCTTCAAATCCGTATACTGGCGCAAGGCGGAACCAAGTTGTTTTTAATATATACAGTCTATGGTCTGGAACCTCTGAAAACTGCGGCCTCACTTTTGGGGAGCTGTCATGTCTTTCTTTTTTTTTTTTACAGTCTATAATCTGAGGTTTTCATTAAAATCAAGTTTTCTTGGTTTTCAGGTAACGTGCTGGTGATCACGGCTCTCCTGCGGTTCAAGCGGCTCCAGACAGTCACCAACCTCTTCATTGCCTCTCTTGCTCTTGCTGACCTCATCATGGGTTTGGTCGTGGTCCCATTTGGCTCCAGTTACATCCTTCTGGGAGCCTGGCAGTTTGGAAACTTCATGTGTGAGTTTTGGACAGCTACTGACGTGCTGTGTGTAACAGCCAGCATTGAAACCCTGTGTGTGATTGCTCTGGACCGGTACCTTGCCATCACGTCGCCACTACGTTACCCAACGATACTCACCAGGTATGGCCAAGAAAGACAGTCTGGTCCAGCTATGTGGGGGGATACTGTGCCTGCACCACTCTGTACTCTCATTTTTCCAGCCTGGTCTTCATCAGGACCCTCTGCCATTTAGTGATGTCAGTGCAGGTTTCAGTCCTCTGTGAAGTGTGCAATCTGTTGTGACATTGCTGAGATCCAGAGGTGCAACATGTTTGGAAATCTTGAAACGGTACAGAAGTAGAGCAGTTACTCTCATCAGTCTCCTGTGTCTGGGCTTGTTTATTTTATATTCCTCTTGCTCTTCTGGAACAATGGCGGTATTTATTTTTTTGCAATTTGTACAGGAGTGGTTCCAGTAGCAGACTTTTTACTAATAAACAGACTACTTAGAGGGGAAAATTAAGGGGCTTTTTATGCACCAGTCTTTGTGGGCGCTGCTTTAAAAGTGAAATCAGGTGTACAAAGAGAGAGTGGTGCTTTCAGATCTATCAGATTTACTCAACACGTCTTTCTATCCAGTATCAGCTTGAGGAAAATCTAATGAGGGCATTCACACCAAGCGTGAGCGAAATCATCTACTCACTTTATTTGCGCGGTTCTAGACGCGTGAATGAATAGTATTTACTCACTTCATTCACGTCAACGATAATTTCAACGGAAATCCCTGCCAATTCAACCTGCGGGATCAAGTGACAGACAAAGGTTTTTTACAGTTTACCAGGTAATCCGACCTCCTCACTCACTCACTTGCCTCCAGGCGAGTTCCTTTTTATTCCGGTTTCGGTAATTGAAAGAAAAGGTATCATATAATTTGGAGCACCCACACAACGACACGATCAGTTTGTCCTCCATTTTAGTTACTAGCAACAACCGTCCGTTTTTATACGTCACCCGGCAACCTTCGTACTGATTGGTTCTTGTGATGCGAATATCCGCTCAAGTTGAGACATTTTTAGCTTCCGCCCAATTCGCGTCATTCGCGCCTTTGCATTGACTTAACATGTAATTCATTCGCGCAATGATTTTACTCGTGCTTGGTGTGTGGAGGCAGTAAGAGTTGCACCCTCCGAAAAAAATGGACTGGTATCAATTGGCCTATCAATAGGCTTCATTAGCACCAATACAAGACAATGCCATATGGGGTTTAATACTTCCCTTTTGGACATTTTTTAAGGTGCACACTGGCAGGAATTTTTGAGGGTTACAATGTGTGAAATAAGTCCTGATTATAGATGCTGAAAAAAAAAGATGATTTGATGGTAAATAAAGGATTTGGGGATTGTATTTGTTCTGTGGTAGAGCCACCCAAGTCAAAAAAATCTGTAAACTATGGTTGGGCGATATGGCCTCAAATCAATATCACGATATATTAAGTAGTTCACCTCGATAACGATAAATGAACTATAATAAACCAACTTTTACTTATTTATGTGTTTATTTGACATCAAATATACCAATATGGGCAAAATGATGTCGGTTATTGTCATCAATTTCGGTATCGGTAAATTTTAGGTTTATCACCCAGCCCTACTGTAAATGCTCCTCAGTCTTACTTAAGGGTTGCATGATGTTTTCAGAGCGCCTTTACATTTCTGAGTTTTCTGTATTTTCATACATCAATTTCTTTGTCTAATGCCATTCTCCAGGGGCCGGGCCTTCGCTGTGGTCTTTGGGGTCTGGGTAGTGGCCTCCCTCATCTCCTTCCTGCCCATCCACCTAAAACTTTGGGTGTCTAATGATGATAAAGCTCGCCAGTGCTTGGATGACGAGTTCTGCTGTGATTTCAACACCAACATGGCATACGCGGTGTCCTCCTCCATCGTGTCCTTCTACCTACCGCTGGTGGTGATGATCTTCCTGTACAGCCGTGTCTTTCAGGAGGCCCAGAAACAGCTGGGGAAGATCAGAGGGAGAGAGCGGCACTTCAATCACTTGCATTACAACACACATCTGACTTATCTTGATGATAAGACTGCGATGAGTAAACTCAAAGTGGGAGCTGAGGAAGGGGAGGAAGCTGGGGAGGATAGTTTCAACATGGAGAAACCGGGAGGTATGGACGTTCAAAAGGGAAAGGTTGAAGGAAAACACTCTGCCACCAAACGAGTGAAGTTCTGTCTTAAAGAGCACAAGGCCGTGAAAACTTTAGGGATCATCATGGGAACCTTCACACTGTGCTGGTTACCTTTCTTTATACTCAACATCCTCATGACTTTCCTCGAACTTGGTGATATCAAACTCCTCTTCAGACTCCTCAACTGGCTGGGATACTCCAACTCAGCCTTCAACCCGCTCATCTACTGCCGCAGCCCTGACTTTAGGCACGCCTTTCAGGAGATACTCTGTCTGAGGGGCAAAGGGAGGAGAGTGTGGGGATGGTGCAAGGAGAGGGACTGCTACTCCAAGCCCCCGGGGAGGATAAACGGTAACTCAGTGCTGAATGGTGATGTTCAGAAGAAGTCCGTGTGGAAAGGCAGTTTGGAGAACTCGATTTCAGACTGCAAGACGCTCACTGTGGTTTCTCTGTCCACTAACTGTGAGCAGGTTTTGGAAGTTGCTCCTGGTTCCTTGACAAGCTGGCAAAGTAATGGTTCTGCAAATGAGACCTGTCAGGAAAATCTTGCCTCTAATGCCTGACCAATGCAAATGTTTGACTTAAGATTGTCCAAGCAGAGCCAAGCAGTAAACAGAGGATTGATGAAGGTCCAAATGTCTGCTTTTGGTCAAGACCTTTCTGGTCTTTCTTGAGGCTGAACTACTTTTTCTCAAATCATGTTACTGAGTCTTACGTGGGATCCCTGTCCTCTTTACTGCTGCAGTTCTCTTAACAAAAGTGTCAAATAAGTTAACTCTTTTTAGCAGCCTGAAAATAGATGCCTCACTGTTGCATGAAAATGCATTTTGCGGCATCTTACTGCAATGAAGGTGTGGCAGAGCGGGGATGAATAAATAAACATTGAAATAGAAATGTGGATAATAAACTAATTATAATCAGTAAGTGAAGCTTACAGAAGGAGTGAGTCTTACTTGCTGGATGTCTGCCAACTGTTCATCCAATGGATAGTGTTATAATAGAGACCTTACAATTGAAAAGCAGTGCTAATACAGTCCAAAAATGTGAAGTTAAAGGGATATTCCTGCGTAAATTTAAGTTATGGTCAAACACACCGTAACACCGAGTTAGACACCCCCTCCTTGAGAGATGAATGTTGTTGACTGCTTGCTTCTCTACTTATACCAACTTTAGTAACAACCACACGATAGCAATACACAGCGGTCTGAGGAGCCATAAACAAACCTCAACCAAAACGCCACTCTATAGCCACAAATAATGCTCAGAACAGCACCTAACTTCATCAACAGGACATATAGGGTCCCAGCCGTAGTACTAGCCACTCACCTACTCTCTTCCAGCAGCCACTTGTTTGTTGCAGGACCTCAGGCCAGTCCATTACGGACTGCTGCGGGGTGACACAGCTCAAGGAAGAACATTTATGATCATTATCACCCCGCTGTGACAACATTCATCTCTCAAGGAGGGGGTGTCTAACTCGGTGTTACGGTGTGTTTGACCATAACTTAAATTTACTCAGGAATATCCCTTTAAGTTTGCACCTTGCGCTTTCAAATCTGCCATGCCAGCAAAAAAGATCACGCAAGCTTTCAGGGAACCCTGAAAACGCTTATTTTCAGAATGGCCAAAAAGAAACACTCGTATACCTGCAGTCAGCATTTAACACCTTTGTGTGATGTATGGTGATATGTTGCTATGGTGATGTCCTACGATGTAGAAATTATTATTCCTGATATGCGCTGCAGCCATCTGTAGATATGTGAGTGCAGAGTTATAAAATTGTCTAATTCTGAAATACTGGGTCATTAATTTTGCACACAACTCAGATACCGAAAGGAGAACTGTTGTCATTTCCTCTTTGTTCAGATTGTTTACCGTTAAAAGCAGCTCCCTTTGCTTCAGAGGGGCAAGATATTCAGATACTCAACTTTAAATACAATGCCTCTTAGCATTTGTATTAATTTTCTTTGTTTCATGTAATTTACATTTAACTGTGGTTCTCTTAAAGAAACTGAACCATGTAAATGTAAAACCCAATTATTGTAGTTATTGAAACTGACATATCGAACAGCTTTGCTCTTTTCAAGGTTACTGGTCAAAGTAAAATGCATTTGCTTATTATAGATTAAAATGAGCGAATTACCGCAGAATCTAAGTGTCGTAAGTCTACCCCGCCCCGCCCTTAAACTACAATCAAAGTACCTTTACACAAAGAAACTTTAAAACCAAGTACAAAATCCAGATCATTTAGTTTCATTGAACCACAGCTGAAGGGATCAGAGCTGTTGTGACTGTGCAATTACAAAAAACCCACCATAATGTGCGCTGTATACAAATATAACAACCGGACTGATCAGTTTAAAGTTCCTGTGAGGAGTTTTTGATAGGCTATGTAATGGGCTGAAATAAACAGTAATGCAACTCTATGATGTACAAAAACTAATGAGACTAATGATAATAAAATTGACAATGTCTATACTATGAGAGGGGGTGGGTATGCCAAAAAAAACAGCTGTAGTTACTTTACCTACTGCAAAATATTCAAGACGGGTCATGTATTTGATTGTAAAAAGACAATAAAAGGTGTTTTTTTGTCAGTTAATAACACTTTCAGACAAAATCATCAATAATAGGAGTTACTATTTTGTCCACAGGGGGCGCCAAAGTCAACAGAGACTGAAAGTTCTTCACAGCAGCTTTAATTAGGATGAGAAAATATTCTGCTTTTTCTAAAAACTCCTAAACATTTGCTTTTCTGTATCATATAGAATATTAACAACGACATTGATGTTTTTTTCAATTCAATTTTGACAGTGAGAGAAATTACTGATCAGTCATCTGAGTCCGATTAAGTTATTCAGTATGTTTACATGACACTAGAGAAAACCGAATTATTGCCTTACAACCAGACAACTGAAGTGCATGTAAACACTTTTAGTCTGATTTTCCGATTACGACATCCAGATAATGTGATTGGAATTCGATTTTCTCTACCATGTAACCAGCGTAGTCGAAGTATGATAGCACAATGCTTGTGCGAGTGCGCCACGCCCCCATAACCAAAACAAAAACACCAGAGAAGAGGAGTAGCGTGCAACTCATCTGCAGAAAAAGTAGCGTGTACATCATGTACGACAAAATGCCCAGCAGCAGTTGTAGACACTTCTGACGTCTGGCACGGACCCAGAAACAGCGCCGCTAAAAAGACTCATATCGCCCCCTAGTTTTGGGGAGGAGGACACATTCACGTCAATAATTCGGTTTTCTCAGCTGCATGTATACGCCGACGAGGAGAGAAGTCTGATTTGGCGGAGAAAAAAAATTTGAGCTTGGTCTGATTAAGCTGTGCATGTAAACGCTCTGAGTGACATCAAACATGTCTGACTGAAAATCGAGTATTTTTGCATCTCAAACAATTTTAAGGATATTTCTCAAAATTTTTCTGAAAATGCTCTTGTTTTGGTCTCATAGGGATAGAGATCATGTGAGTTGAGAGACTTAATTTCCAGTAGCTCCTACAGGATTGAAATATCATGACCCTAAATATCTGAAAAACAGTTAATTATACTATCCCATCACTCACAGTAAAAACAAAGCAGTTCAAAGGGCCTTCGAGTCAGATTTTATTGAACATACTGCCACACAACTGAAGACTCTGAGGTCCAAAACACATCAGTGCCACAGCAAATCTATCAGGACTCGCTCTGTTATTACTTCCTGCGTAAACTGTAGAGCTAGAGAGCACTGGCAGGAATTGAACACCACGTTTGTAGTGCTAATAAACTCGTCTGTCAGCAACAAAAGCGTACGCCAGAACAAACAAGCACAGAGAGAAGGATTAAAGTCTTATCTTTACCAGAGGGTCTCATTCCAGGCTCATGTATAATCACAGAGATCTGACAACAGAAAGTCTGTTTTCATTCCTTCCTAATAAACCTCATCGCTGGTCCAAAATCAATTTCTAGTGTATATTTGTACAGCAGGAAACCACAAAACTTGTGATTATCATAACTGTCTTTCCCTCCTAGTGTGTTTGCTTTACCTTTCTGGATAATCACAGAGCTGTTTTTCTTTTGTTTTCCCTCTCCAAAAGACACTGCCCGTTCACGTCTTCCTTTTATCTGCTCTGGTTTACACATGAATGAAGCTGGATTCACGCTGTCAGAGAGCTGGGAAGATTATTTTTTCAGTAACACTGCCTCCCCAACTCAGTGTAAAACATAGCGGTTGAGGTTCGTGGTTAATTTATGAGATTGTTTTATAATTTAAAAATGATTATGACAAATTAACCCAAAGTCGTGAACCAATAAAGACTCCCATAAATCAAATAAAATCAAAGTGGAAAAAAAAACTGTAATTAATTTCCCTGTTATGGTTTCATATGTACAGATATTAAGTTATTTTGTGTTAATAATTTTACTTGAACAAAGTATTCATGGTGTAGTTTGCATCCGAGTGCCGTAAATGATCAGCTTTGCATGTATCTGATTGTATGTTGTGTGATTATCTGTGAACTGTAAAGCCTGTAGCATGTTATTGAATACTTGTAATTAACCCTTTTGTAAGTCTTGGAAAATAATGCACACTTGTTTTCTATTTCAGCTAGTTTTTCCTGGTTCTAATACTGCGAGATAACTTTAACGTGAGTGTTAATTCATGTGAGGAAAGAGTTAAAGTAGCACCGAAAAACACCAGTTTACAGTCAGACTAAGTTTTTTAGATCTCAATCTTAAAATACACTTAAGTTTGTTTTTCAGGAGGTGTAAAATACGTTCTACCTCCATCGGTCATATAAATGTTATTTCATCTCTGCAAATATTTATTCATAACCTGTCGGCTCAGTCTGTGAGTAAAAGGACGATGTTTGAAACATAAACGCCTCGATCTTCTGTATTCGTGTGTGCGTGTGTATGTGGTTGGTTAATCCCAATTTAAGCAAAAGGTAAACATGTTCTTCTCAGAGATTAAAATTAGCACTTTATTACCAAGCATTCTCGGCAGTTTCAAATCCATGATTCTGATTGGTCAATACCCTGCAAAAAAACTGTGATTAATAACCAATGAGAAAAGGGAAGCTAAGGACCTTTGTCTGTTGACACTGTGGCAAAAAAACAAAAACAAAAAAAGATAATAATATAATTTTAATAATTACTTTCCATCTTAGACTGGTCCTGAGTGTGTGGGCAGACATGTGAGAGCAACCTGAGGAGTTACTGGACTCCAACAGTCTCTGGAGCAAGATACCGTCCTGCAATCCAGGCAACAGCTGCAGAGTAACTTCAGTGAGTAACATGTAAAACCATTCAGCTGACTTGGTAGAAATGGAGTGTTATATTCAGAGCTGTGTTTAAATAAGTGTCTTTTCACCTCCATATGAATATTCACTGTCTTTAAATGAGTCTTTCACATCTGCAAGTAAGCAATGGCACAAATTACAGTTATGGTGGTAAAAACTTGATGAAAGCAGGATCATAATAACGATGAATCACAGGAAATTCTTGTCCTCATAGGCCACCGTCACTTCACCAGCAGAAGGGGTGAGCAAGGGAGCAATTCAGTCTAGGATTTAGGATTTAGGGTATATTTTAAGGCCAAGCGGCTAATTTCCAGGTTGGTCCCATTAGCAGGTTGGTGTCAATCCACAAAACAAAAATAGGAGTGAAACACACAGAGCATATCAACAACAATATAGATGACATAAAAACCAAAAATAAAAACAGGCTTAGAGTTGGGGGACCACACACTGGATCATAATGTGCTGGAATGCTAACTAAAGTGCTAAAGTGCACAGAGCTAGCTAGCTGCTAGGAGCTCAGGTCCCCATTATACTGCGCATTGCCTGATATTGTGCAGAAAAGAGAATGAAAATAAAAGTGCCTGTTGCACATTACCCTGCTGCCCAGGATTATAAAGTGCCAGATTGAATGAGTATTCCACAATGCCCATAGCACACGGTTGCATGCGCAGATGTGCACTAAAAAGGCATACATAGATGTTTTATGTAAGCAATAATTCATAAAAATTGAATACATAGATGTATTTCTGTGTACGACAGTGGACAGTTTTGGATGATACTGACCCCATTAGACATACATACAAAATTAAACATGGTTATGATCACAGATCTGGTTTTTTCAACAACCATGCTCCGAGTTGTTTGGAGAATGAAATCGGAGTCACTAGTTCGTGTATTAAGCTTGATATTTGGTTCCAGGTCTAGGATGCACGAAATGAGAACGCTGCTTGACTGGAGGCACTTTTTCGAAATAAGTCTAGAATCAGACCACGAGATATCGTTGAATAGTGATATTCATGCTGCGTTCCAGTTGTACTCGGAAGTCGGAATTTCCAAGATCCAAGTTGGAAATTCACCTGGAACGCCCCCCTGAAGTCGGATTTCCAACTCAGAAAGTTGGACGATCCTCAACAACCCCGACTTGACGACAACGTCATAATCAATAACGGCAGCGCAGTGCATCAACAGTATAGAGTAACAGTGAAAGCTCTCGCAATGTAATGAGTAAAATATCGTATTATGCATTGTTTACAACTGGTATAGCTAACAACACCTAACAACACCTAACAACAGCTGACAATTGTAAACAACAGTAGGCGTTCATCTTGGTTTTCCAACTTGTTTACTGGAACGCCATCAACTCTGATGTAACATCATTCCCAGCTCCAACATCTGACTTCTGAGGTTACTGGAACGCAGCAAAACACGACCAACCCTTCGCCATACGGTACTGCCTAAACTATCTAGAGATGTGGCCAAACAAGTTGATTTAGGATTCAGGTCATTTTACGTCCTCTATGAGCACAATGTTCATAGAGGACAGGGTGCTCTGTGATCTATGATAGAAATCATCTTTGTCCTGCTGGGTTTCAAATTAATCATTCTGAGAAACTTGAGGCTGTGGGCTGTTGACCAAACAGAGCATAAATCAAGAGCGTCATTACAAAGACAGCCATTATATTTAATAACACACTGATAAAAGGCTCCAAATTTAATGGCTCTTTGGAAAAATTCAGCATTAAAAGGCTCTTTGTTGACACAAAAAAATGTGATCTGGATATGTGACTCTTCTTGGAGCAACTTTAACCTTTTTAACTGAGTCCATCAGACACAGGCCTCTCTGTGATTACTCAGTCATCCATGCTGCCCATGAAGACCCAGCTTGTCTGCCGGTATTAAAGGTAGAGTGTGCACGTGTATTTGTGTGTGTGAGTGAGTGAGTGAGGCGTGACGCACAGTGACAGGTGCAGGCAGTCGCAGCAGCTACAGTATCAGCGTCAGAGGAAATACAACCAGATATACCACTTCAACACACACGCGCGCACACACACATACTGTACAGCATGAGGCGAGAGCGCTCTGTGTGTCCCTTGTGTATAGGTTGGAGGGTTGGTGTGAATGTGACCTGTGTCATTGGAACAAGTTTCCAGTCGCTGAGGATAATGTACTTCACATGCATGAATATCCGTGTGTGTCCTTCATGTCAGCTGCGATCACATAGGCCTTTTAATCCACTTGTTTTTATTTTTAGCATCAAAACATACGTCTCATTGTCCTTAAAGTTTTCACAGAAGCTTGTTTACCTTCCACAGAGCAGTTTCACTTAACTAGAGGCCAACTAGTTTGACCTCCCCTCTCAAATCGGTCGGTCCATTTCCGATATACAGAGTGAATCACAGTCCCATACAGGCATAAACGTCATGATATGTTTTGTTAATTAGTTTTCTTCTCGTTATTTATTTGAGTGCTTTTTTGTGTATTTCCCTTTGTGTTTCTGTTCCCTATTGTTCCTGTTCCCTTGTAATCTTGTCTTGTGAGTTTTCAGTTCGTGTCTTACCGTGTTTTCAGTGTTTCATTCTGTAGATCTACGGAAGAGGATTAGAGCTGCATGAAGAGAAAAAAAATAACTACAGGAAGGAGATTAAAGTTGAAATTTTGACATTAAAAAAATTTGAAATTATGTAAATAAAGTTGAAATTTCAGGATTGAAGTCAAAACTTCGCGATGGCAAAATGTCGAACTGTCTTGAATGATGTTGATATTTCAACAATAAAAAAACTGACGTCAAAGTCGCAATTTCGAGATTAAACTCGACATGAATTACGGTGAAATTTCACGTACTTTTTGAAAAGGATCAGAGCGCTTAAATCGGTAAACAACGACCATTTCATCTCCGTGTGGATGTCTATCTGCATCTCTGGAAACGATCATGTGACACACAGCGTAACTCTTTTATAGCGCCTGCGTGTGTCCGGCTAAAACAACTTTATCCGCATGCTTTGTACTCTTCCTCTGTCTTTTGTGCATTTCCTGTACAGTGTTACAGCGCCACTTATTGGCTTGGCATATGTACTACATCGTTTTAAGTGGTTTCGTTCTGAGAGATGATAGAAAAACTTTTTATTTTTAAAGTGAAGTTTGGTGAAGTTGTCACTGAATTAAAAATCAAAAATCAAAAATCAGGATTGTATCTGTTGCCAATATCGTGCAGCCCTAATCCTGACATAACATAAACCCACTGATTAAGAGCCATTGAGCTGGCCGGTCTGTTCCTGTTCATCAGTGTGAACTCTCTAAAGCTTCACCCTTTGTCCCAGAGAGTAACACCTGCTTTAGTGGGGATGTGTTCTGGATGTGAAAAGGCTGTGACAGCTCCCTCTCACGCCAACATGGCATTCACCCAGGCCGCATATCCGCTGCTTGTTGGCTGTGCTTCCGACCTTTAAAATAAGGCCTGTGGGTATGCCCTGTGAATAAACATATAAACACAGACCGGCACACACAGACACATACAGCACTCAGCTATGTATCTGTAAAAAGACAGACGTACAGTCATAGTGAACACACACTGATGCACATGGAGGCTATTCAAACTATGTACAATATTCATTTTCGTGCCCAATTTGAATGTGCATGTATTGTGTTTGTGTGTGTGTGTGTGTGTATGCCCGTGTGTGTTACTGAAAAGATGTGCCAAGTGTATCTTATGATCACAGACAGTTTATAGATAGTGAACTCGTGTTGCTGCACGAACTTAAGCCGACCCGGCACCTCCTGCCAAATATCAAGAAATAAAGTGAGAACAGACAGATACGCTGTCAGTGTGTTTACCTGTCTGTTTGAGTCACACTAATACAAATAAAAGGGCATTTCACTTTAAAACTGTGCAGACAGTACAACAAGTGTGCGGCTGGACAACACTCCAACAACGCAGCGATGCTTCTCAAATGTCTCGCCAAGTTCTGTCCTCTCAGGGGAAGGTTGATCTTGACCACGCTTTCACTCCCTGTTCACCGACTTCAGATCAATCTAGTGAAAACTGGACTTTCGAAATACATGCAAACAAAATCGTCTGGAAACTCCTGAATGATATGATTATGATCTAAAATCGATGAATCGTGCAGCCCTACCTGAACAGTGAAATTGGGGATTTTCCCATGCATGCATACACCTCATTTAGCTCCAGACTGGCCTCAGTGTGCATGCACCACATTTTGCAGGATGGACCGAACTGTTTTGCTTATTTCTTAGGAGAGACCTTACTTTTTTTTTACCATTAAAGGGTGTGGACCTCTGTTCCCTTTTTTTTTTAAGTCATTTATTTTTCTGTCAAAAGTTAAAAGTGAGAGAAAAAAAAGAGAATGTGTTTATTCTGGGTCCATGGAAGGCTCGGGATAGTCAGTCCCATTTTTTCCCCAATAAGACACCCCTGGGCGTCTGTGTTAGTCAGGGTGCATGCTCGTATGTAAGGCCTGAGAGAGGCTGCTCCTCGTCAATGGACTGCTGTTTGCACAGGGACATTACATAATGTTTGTCTGTCCTTGGGTGCAGCTTGGGTGGAGGTATCTGAGAGTCAGTCAGCAAGACAGTAGGTAATAAAATGGAAGGGAGCAAAGTCTGCCAGACAGACAGACAGGAGACACACACCCACAGAAAGACGGGCAAAACAACATCTTCTTGTCAAAACTG